ATCACGCCTGCAAATGTACGTTACACCCCAAAACGACATGTGCCATCTTTGACTTTCAGGAAAGTGTTCTATCCAACCAGTCATTACTCCTCACATGCTTTCACACTTATTGGGTCGCTGTAGGTAGAGCGTACAGCAGTTCCAATCCTAGACAAAATAAATTTGGTTTGCTGTCTATAACATGCATTGATAAAACTCTGTTACGCCGTTTATACTGTTTCTGTGCATAAGTTTCTCTCGTTCCTGATCATGCGTCACTTCAAAATTGGAATGAAACATGTTAGCAGTAGAAATCTTGCGCCACTTAGCCTGTGCTAAGGACTGATCCTCCCAGTGCGTGGACGCAATTGGGTCTAGCCAAAATGCAAACATGCGAGATAAGCCTAAATCAGCTTGAATCTTAGCCTGTACTTTGTGTAGCGTGAACACTACTACTACTAAGTTGCTATTGTTTGCACACTCTTTTATGTACACACTGCAACTTGTTATTAATTGCACTCACTTTTACACAAACTTTCATTGTCTGCACTTATGCTCACTAGTTTTTCTTTTATTGATGTTTCAGATTGTGGAAATGTATGACGGGACTCTGATCATGATGTCTCGAAATACAGAAGCATTTCACTGCAAATGCCGAATATTCTCAAAAAGCTATGATGCTGGTGAATCATTTCCAGTTAGTGATATTTGGATGGTGGACGACCTGCCTGATCCGAATGTTTGTGGTAGCATTTTACACCACAATGGCATCCTGTATTTTTCAGGGCTTGATAGTCGAACATCACGAACCAATATGACTCTTTATTGGAGTTTAGATAATGGAATAACATGGCCAGGTTACCTGCCTATTTACTTACATAACAGTGCCTATTCATGTTTAACAGCAATAGACAATAATAACATTGGACTTGTATATGAGAAAGGTAACAATGGACATATAGCATTTTCAAAGATACGACTACATGCATAAAAGTAGAAAATTCATTGTGTGTAATGTCCTCATTTACAAATGAACTTTTTAAACTGTACAAAATTGTTTTATATTTTATTTTTGTAAACTTATGATTATGAAATTTTGTTCATATTAAGTAGGCCCTACATGTACAAATATATTCTGGTTGCTGAACAACATCATCGCAGTGGCAGCTTTTGGTGGTGGCCAAAGCTTAGTGTAATTTAACTGTGTACCATTTAATCCATGTAATCTAGAGCTAAAATTACTTTGATTTCCATCAAATGAACACACATGAGGTGTAAGATTAAAAGTATATCTGTTCATTATAATTAAGAACTATTTGGTTACCAAATTATTATTATATATATATCACCACAGTTAGTGTGTGTGGGTGTGCGCGTGTATGTGTTTGTATAGAAGTAGAAGTGGAGCCAGTGGTGCAGATGCCCACCAACAAAGTGGAACCTTTTGTACAAGTGGAGCCTCAAACATGGGGAGTCACAATATTGCATAATTTATGTTAATATTTTATCGAATTTATGTCAAGTTTGCAAAGCTTAGGTTTAGTAAAGGGGGAAGGTATGGTTCAATTTATATTAATATTAATAACCTTTCCCCATTACTAAACCTAAGCTTTGCAAACATTTATATGTTCAGTCACAGGATATTCAACTTTTATTAGCTCCGCTGTTGGCGCTGTTGTCGAGCGGAGCTTATCACATGAGTGATTGTCCTTCGTCGTCCATCGTCATCTGCGTCAACTTTTTACTTTTTCGACTTCTTCTTGGAAACTACAAGCCTGAATTCTTTGATACTTGGTGTATATGTACCTTGGGTAGACCTCTCTCAGATTTGTTCATTTCGTGATGATATCTTCAATTCTCTAATTTTTTTGAATATTTTTGTCATTTTTGGTAAGAAGTGATATTTTTGACTTTTTGGTGAAAATCGCAAGTTTGATTGCTTTGATACTATACATATTGTTCATTTTCTAATCAAGGTATCTCAGCCGACAGGGTGCCTATTATGTTTTGACCTCTGTGCGTGCGTGCGTGCGTGCATGCGTCTGGCCTGTATCTTAAAAATGCCCGGACCAATCACAATCAAACTTCACACATACATCATACATGATATTATACATATGCACATCAATTTGTTTCACGATCTGAATTCAAGATGGACGAATGGCGGCCATTTTTATTCTAAAAAATCATCAAAATCAAGCATTTCTCTGCTGTTTACAGATAGATTGCACATAATTTTGTTTCCAGATAAGATTCAAAATGGCTGACTGCTGACTGGTAACCATTTTGTTTTACTAATGTGGTTCTAGTGCCATATCTCTGACTTGCTGTGACTGATTATGTTCAAATTTTAAATATTCATTATACATCATGTCATAGATATACAGATATACTGGTTTGACGATTCTATTGAAAATGGCCAAGTGGTGGCCATTTTTATGCTAAAAATTCATCAAATATCAAGCATTTCTGACATTTGTACAGATATATTGGTTTGACGATTCTATTGAAAATGGCCAAGTGGTGGCCATTTTTATGCTAAAAATTCATCAAATTTCAAGCATTTATAGATGGATTTTGTTCAAACTTGATACATATATTAGACATTATGGGTTCCTGACGCATGTTATTTTATCTTTTAGATCGAATTCAGAATGGCTGACTAGTAGCCATTTTGTTTTAATGAATGGGCTTTTAGAGCCATATCTCTGACATGCTTTGACGGACTATGTTCAAATTTTATATATTCATTATACATGTATTCAAAATGACTGATTTTGTTTTAATTAATGCTGTTCCAGAGCAATATCTCTCAATACTTGTTTGACGATCGGATACAATTGTCAATCTTTTAAATGTTAAACAATCATCATAATCATATTCCTGACATGTTTATATTCCAGCTTTATTACTATAAACAAAACTATATATCTTAAATTCGATAACTAACTGGGACTGTGCCATGCATGGCTTGTTTAATTAAACTTAATTAAAACGCAAACCTATGTTGTATTGCATTGTAATTGAGTTTAATTAAACTCCAATTAAAACGCAACCCTATATAGGAACGCGTTTTAATACAATTCATATCACAACTATATTAAAAGTTAATCCAATGTGTGGCGTCACAACTGCTGTTACACCTGTATGTGTGTGTGTGTTTAACTTTAAGTTTAACTTTACACCTTCTTGTGACGACCCTCACAATTTTCATAATTTATATTAATATTTAATCAAATTTAAGTCAAGTTTGCATAGCTTAGGTTTAGTAAAAGGGAAGTGGTCTCTTCAATAATAATGGGATATTCAATAATAATTAAAGAACAAATTGGGTTCATACCAAAATTTGGAACAAGATATCACATATTTCTATTTAAACAACTGCTCACACAATATCTTAACAACATTTGTTTTATTGACTTCAAAAAAGTATTTGGCACCCTGGACTAATGTACAAATTAAGAAAAATTGGGTATCACAGGAAAATTTTATCAAACAAATAATAGTATTTACCGAAATTCGCTTGTATGCGTAAAAACAAAAACTGATTTAATAAAAACATTCCCAGTAGAAAGAGACGTAAAGCAGGAGGATGGCCTAAGCCTACTCTTATTTAATATATACGTCAATGACATATAAATCAGTTATAGGAAATCGGTATTGTAAACCAATTGAAGATGTTCAGTTAACTAAAGTGGTGTAAATATATATTAGGTGTGGGGCAAAATACAACCAACAGTGCAGTTATGGGTGAACTCGGACGATATCCACTTAGTATCGGCAGAAATCTAATCCGTATTAAATTTTTGAAACGTATTCTGAAAATGTCATCTAATCGA